AGTGATACCTCGGTTCTCGAACGCCTCGGTTTTCGACCAAATCGGTATTCGACCAGGAGATTCGAGAAACTTTTGTCTCGGAATCCGAACAAATATTTGGAACTCGAACTTCCGAGATGAGCCGAGTTGAGCCGAATGGCGTTCATTCAGCCCAGCGCGCCTTGCTTGCGTCATCAGTGTGAGTGCAGAGAGAGAGTCACGCTTTGTGGAGTCACGCTTTCCTATTGAGTTTCATTGCTTCGGTTCTCGAACAATTCGGTTCTCGACCGTCCTCCTGGAACGAATTATGTTCGAGAACCGAGGTATCACTGTATCTCTGAGCCCTGTTTTCTTCTAAAATAATTTCCAAGTTTCCTTCTTCAGTCTGAATCATCTATGATGGTAGGCTCCTGAGTTAGATCAGGGCTTCTGAAAATATACCCAAAGACTCACTGGAAAATTAAAATCTTCAGGTCCTGCCTCTAATCTTACACATGAGAAGCTCTGGGTCTGAGGCATCTCAATCTTCATTTCTCCCAAATATCCCAGGTAATTACTACACACAATAAATGAAAGAATGACTATAACAGAGTGCACCCATGAAAGTAAGAATTTCCAAAAAGGGGCTAAATGTCAGATTCCTTGCCACATAGACCAGACCAAGTTGAATTCTTCTAAGAAAAAATTTTAGGAGACTAATAGCTGCACCCTTGGCAGGATCCATCAGCCCTGTTACCATAGGCAGCCATCATTTGAGTGAAGGCCTGGCTGGCTACTTCAGAGAGGCAGGCCAGTGTAGATGGCTGAGCAGAGGACATAGGTGCACCAGACTCCAGGGGTGCCCCATAGACTCCAACTGGCTCCCCTGGATGTGAGGCACTAGCACCTGTCCCACAGTTTGGTTTTTGTTGTGGCAAGCAGCCAGAATTTCATTTCAGTTACACCGTAGTGATACTAAGTAACCATCGATCCCACAGGTGCCCAGGAGTGGCAATAGGAGACTGTGTTAGAACTGAAACAGTGGCCACAGTCTTAAGTTGTTCCTGCCCAGAAACTCCCAGGGAGGAGTTTCCAGCAGACATTTTATTCACACTGCCTTAGAGGTGTAAACTTTCTTGTTGATAAGGTTGTCAAATCAAATACAAATCATCCGGTTTAGGAGTGCGTATATTTTGTTTGGTTTGATTTGGTTTGATTTGGGCTGAATTTATAAACCCCTATCTCAGCCTATAGCCAAGAACACATGAAAGAGAAAGAAAAGAACTTTTTCTTCTCCTACATGGTATGGTGTGTCATCTTAATGTATAAAATAAAACAAAGCCTTTAAGGCACCTAAGTCATAGCTCTAACAAGGTTCCAAAAAAGAAGTGAAGCAGTTGGAGTAACTTTCCAAGGAAAGTCATTTTCTGCTTTGCTTTGAGATTTCCCAAAACAATAACTTAAATTTATAAATTCTCAATTTCTTAACTGGCTTTGCTCCAATTAACAGCACAGTGACAGCACTATTTTGCAAGTTCAATTCCAAGTAAATTAAGTGTGTATCAACTGTGGAGATGGAAGAAGGTTTAGACTTGGTGTAAAAATATAGTCAGTTTCAGAAACCCCCCATAGTTCAAAAGAGAAAGAGGGGGTAAAAATGAGAATTTTTACCTTCATACCAAAAAAAAAAGAAAAAGATTGGAAGAAACTGGATTCTGAATTGAAATAAAAGTAGAACTTGGGGACAGGGTAGCTGGAGGTCACATTCCAGAATCTTAAAGATTTAAGCCAAGAGATAGATTGGTCTACATGTAGTTCTGCTGGTCAAAGGGGAAAGATATTAGGCTGAGGCCACCTAAGAAAACACAGCCATGTTCTGCAAAAAAGACAGTTGTCCTTCCCATAATCCCTGATGTCCTAGCTCCCCAATTCTTCAGGACATTTATTTGAGCACCTATTGTGTGCCTAAAGCTGGGATGATTTCTATTTGGAGAAGTTCCCACTCAAGCTAGGGAGAAAAGGCATACACATTTTGAAATTACTAGAGATGAAACCAAATATAGTAACAAAACAGAAGGGGAAAAATTCGTGTGGGCTTGAAGTGCCAGCAATTCTGATGGAGGAGGCAGAATCTGAGATGAGTCTCAATGGATGTAAAAATGAGGGATAAAGATATTTGGGGGTAAAACATGTGGAAACAGGAAGTAGCAGAAATGAGAGTACCATGTTGGAAGAAAAAGGAAGATGAGCAGGAGTATGTGCTGGGAACTAGCAGGAGTTGGGGCTGACCCAGGTGGCTCTATCCTACTTCCCTTGTCATCCACATTTCTACCTGGGAGCAGTGGTTCCAGTGAGAAAGGTTATGGTGCCCAGGTTCTCCCTCCACAGTGGACCAAGCCCCATTTAGATGAGCACAATCGCTGGGTCTTCCCAGAACTCTGATCCCAGAGATGGAGATAATGTTGAAGGTTGGAATGCCATGAAACAGTTGGTACTCTGATTTGGGGGCAATGAATCTCTAAGTATTGTAGACGCAGGACCTGCAATCTACTCTCATAAACAAAATGGAGATTGGAAGAGGCTTTCATCAAGTAACTGGATGCCCTTATCCTATATTATCTTTCTCCTCTTTTAGTGGAACTTCAGGTCACACTGAAGTTCTTTCTTACCATTTCTTCTGCAATAGGAGAGATTTTTTGAGCTAACAAGTACTTTACTTTTTCAAGATTTACTTTTTCAAGATTGAGAATGAAGAAGACAATGCTTAACTCAATGAAAAGCTAATAGAATTTCAAGTAATAGTAGAGGAGATATTAAGCTCATATAAAGTAGTCCATCATCTAATGGTGTCTAAAAGATACCTGAGAGGTACCTTATCTAAGGTCCTCTCTGTCATTTAGATCAGCCATCAACTATGGAAAAGAATGTCTCTAAAGATATTGGGGGGGGGGAGTAGAAATGGCATCATACTATCCATTGGGGGCTCCTAAACTGTGTATTTCTTTATGATTTCCAACCAAAGGCCAAGAGAGCAAGAGCTACAGTCTTCAACAGCGTAGGAGCTCATTCTAGGTAACTGCTATTACCATATATTGAAAGATATATTCATTTTTATTTAACACATCTTTACAGAATGTTCACTGTGTGTTGTCTCATTTTTAGTTAGCACTTGCTGTAAAAAAGAGAGGCGGGGGGTAGTTATAGTGAGCAAGAGGAGAGAGATGCAGTGATGTTCTCAAAACTTGCTGGGTATACGAAGCAGCGAGAGGCTGGAAGAACAGACTCCTGGCTCCATTGCCCAAAGATTCTGATTTAGTGCATCTGCACTTGAATCAGCACTTTTAAAAAGTTGATTCAGTTACTGGTGGTCCCTGGCCACACTGAGACACATTTCACAAGACAAAAACAGGATGTGGAGGTCAAGAATGAGAAACTTTGTGTGGAAACCAAGCAGGCGGAGGCTACAGTTGGTTAACCAAGAATCACAGAGGGCTCAGTGGGCCAGGCCTGCCAGCTGATAGTAACACAGGACCACAGGTGTGTTTTTCCCACATTTCTGAAATAGTTCATTTGGAAGCTCTATTTGCCATGGAAACAGATCAAAATGGCTGCAGGGGGCATGGTTCACAACACTGGAGTTGCTAAGGCAATGGTAATGGGTGGCCAAATTGAGTTGCAAAAGCTGTGGTTCAGAAAGAAGAGGTGAAGAACCTGTGCTAAAAAGAGTGCTGTGGGATTTGTCAAGGACTGCTGTATATGTAGCCCATGTAACATCTCAGAGAATTGTGAAAAAAATCAAAAGGACAGAGGCTGAGTTCTTCCAAGAATGGCTTACAGGTAACAAGCTGGTAGACAGCTAACTTATGAAGTATTATTTGCCCTTTGGGATTTTTTTCATTTTGTTCCCAGTATTTATAATATTGGAGACCCCACCTACTGCTGAATAAATGAACCAATCAAAAGCAAACTCAAGCACAATACTTAAATACAAGGAAAATAATGACAACTCCGAAAAACGACCACCACAGATTTTATTTAATTAAAAATATTATACATGTTGTTGCATTTTCATGGAAAATATTGAGTTAAAAAACACCAACAGTGTTGGTTTTCAGAAACCTTAATGCACCCTGTTCTGCTACCTGCTTCTTTTTTCTGTCCGTGGCATTAACCATGTGTAAGGAATCGGGGCCCTGTGCAACTGGGCTTCCTTGAAGTTTACACCCATAGGACTCCTGGAATGAGCCATTTTCTCCACAGTGGTGTTCTATCATGTGAACTCAGATGCCCAATTTTGGTTTCCTTGCAAACCATTAAAAGGATCTGGCATAAAACCCCAAAGCACATGTCAACACCAATTCAGCCCCAACATATCTGCAAGAATCTGCTATGACTGTGTCCAGTTTCCAAGCCAGTTAGCAGGTGATTTTATATTCTGTCTGGTGTATTAGTGTCCTGAGCCCCTTCACCAAACTTCCCCTGAACCCATGGTGGGAAGACACTGCCATATAGTGTTTATATTCAAACTATCAGCAAGTACACAAAAGCACATGTGGCCCCCATGCACAATACTACCAAATAAAAAAAAAAATACATATTGGTACAATACAACCCTTGGGATCACTGGCTAAAATATAGCCATGTGAATATTTCTAAACTATTCATTTAATTATACATTTAAGAAAAGTAACACAGCATAAAAAATTTAACTTGAAAACATGATTTCAGCTAGAAACTTCTCACATGTAAATACAAGGTGTGTACAATATCACTCTCTCCCTTTGCTTTCCCAGGACAGTACCATCCCTTAACTTATTTCCTTGATTCCACATCATAATGCTGCGTTGGCATACTGCTCCCAAGTGATGTTTTTACTGAAATTAGATCTAATGTGATAGAAACAGCCTGGCTCTGTTTTTCTGCTCCTTTGTTTTAAATTGTAGTACACTTAATTTGGGTTCTGCATCCAGCTTTACATTAAAGACAGATGAATTCCCCCAAAGTACACAAATAGACAAAAATAACTGGATAGCAAAAAGGTAGAATAGCTTCAGCTCTTAGAAATGGGAAAATTGTCTTTCTTCTTCATAATGGCCTCTCAATTGATGGGAATAAAATAAGGCTGAAATTGCTTTTCACATTCTGGCTCTGTTGGGGGCATTTTCACATAGACTCCTGTAGTAAGAGGGCTTCTTTTCTTTAGCTGCCAAACACAAAAAGAAACAGTAATTATTAATGAGGAATACAAAAGCCACTTCTAACCATAATAGGATTCAGCAAATATTGGGTTCCTCTCCTGTTGAAAAATGAATGTTCACAACATACAGAATTATAAGCCCCAGGAGATTTTCTTGATTCAGCTATTAAAATTCAGTTTAGATAAATAACTCTGTGCTATGGATGTAAAACAGCAATTATTTTCCCTGACTGAAAGATAGAAGAAAGACTTTTAGAAAGCTTCAGAAAAAAACACCCCAAATGCCTATGTTAAGTTACTGGATGTTGGGGTGGGGGGACAAGTTCGATAAGATAATAAACTTTAGTTATCCTGTTTGAGAGCTGTATTTCTCATCTCCAGTCCTCATATACTTTTCATTAATTTTTCTCTGACCACATCAGTTCCCAGTTTTTATCACCTCAGTAAATTGAGGTCTAGCACACTAGTCTGTATGGAGGTTTGTAGCAAATGAGGTAGGAAGAAACTACAGCAACAGAGCAAGTTGAGACAGGATCTTAAAAGAGAGAGAGGAGAGAGAAGCAGAGAGAGAGGAAGGCAGAGAGAAAGAGAATGGGAGAGGGAGGAAAGAGAGGGAGAAGTTTATGACAAAACAGGCCTTAGACAGAGGTGACTGAAAATGACTGTCAGAAAGAAATCCTGATTGGAGGCCAGATTCCATACCTCCCTCTCTTCCACCAACAACTGTAGTAAATAATTTCTTTTACTGGGATGGAAGGGAGGTCAAACTTCCCAGTCAAGCTGACTAAATAACAGGGAGCCCTGAGGGGTGTTACGTGGCCAGCTGCAGTGTGGACAGGAAGGCAGTGTTGGCTGCACTGAGAGATGGCTTCCTGGTGAAGGAGAGGGACTTCAAGGGAGAGAATAAAATCTATCCAGTTGTATGGTCTTCTCTAGCATCATTTTGCCCAACCTAACCTGTTTTTCAGGGTTATTAACCTAAGCACACTTGTCATGAAGATAAAGAGCAAAACAGCTGCCCCATGTTATTCAAATGGTTACTCAAATTGAAACCCTCTTTAGAAGCCCACAAACATTCAATGTCAAACGCACTCATCTGAAATATTAGTCATCCCGAAACCTCAAAGGCCAGTGCCATGGGTTCTAATGTGTTCTTTACCACTGTCCTTTGCCTTCCTCGTTTATTGCTTCATCGCAAAAAAAAACTAAACTCAAAGGCGTCATCTGGTCAATTGTTATTACTAAAGGTATCCCCACCGAAAATGGTGCATTGTCAGCATCACACTCACCATTTTGCTCAAAGAAACAGCTGTGATGAGGAAGCTGTAAAAAAACAACCCCGAACTAACTGCTGCAAGTATCCAGAGGAGGAAATCAGAATCTGGACATGGTTCTGGATCTGCAACAGAAAACAAAGCAGAGCTTCCCTGAGCCACTCTTTAAACTTTAAAACCTTACTTCCCTACTGATGAAAAAATAAAGACATTTCAGCTCCCAGACCTTGATAATAGTGCTAGCCCACAGATAATTCCAACTATTTGGGGCTAGTTTCCCAGGAGTGTCATATCAAAGGCATAAGGGTAAACTTGATGATGGTTATCACTCCAGCGTGAGTGCCCAAACCTGCCAGTAGGAAAAAGACCTTCTCCGACCCATTTTATTTTATAGTCAGGATGCTGTTGCCATCCACAGTATAAGAAAGGCTACCACGTGATATGCCAGAGTACTCTTAAAGAGAATTTTCACAATCCAAACAATGAACCACCTGACGTTAAGAAGCAAAACTCTTTTTTTATCCATTAAGCGAAACAAGCCAAACAGAGAAAGGCAAGTATCACCTGATCTCACTTATTTGTGGAATATAATGAACATAACAGTCTGAGGAATGGGGTAGTCCCAGAGACGTGGAAGTGGGGTACAAACTGACAATCCCCAGAAGATGGGGTTGTGGGGGAGAGATAAACCACAGAATTTATATGCATGTATGCATGAACAATGGACATGGACAACAAAGCTGGAGACAGGGCGGGGAGGGAGAAGGAGGGGAGAATCAGTTGGGGGGAAAGGAGAAACATCTGTAACAAAAATCAATAAATTAATCAAATAAAATTTAAAAAAAGAAGCAAAACTCTTTTCATGCAAGGAGACAGCAGTGCAAAGGGTATTAGCTTAGTGATATGGCTTTGCTCACCAATGACATAAATCTGGGTTCCGTTGCCCATGCCAACATAGTAGGGAGGTGGGTACATGAGCTCCACTTTGCAGATGTAGAGCCCCGTGTCCATGGCCCTCAGCCCTTGGATGGTGAGATTCACTTTGTTTCCACTGGAAGTGCCCAGGCAGGTGGAATCATCTATGAAGGTCAACTTATTCTCCACCATATACGTTGTGGCACAGACTTCAGTCATCAGGCTGCCAACCTGCCGCAGCACTGTCACCCGGACCTCAGCAGCTTTGCCCGAAGAGCTGTACTCACACACAAAGCTGGCGACACCACGGCTGCTGGCCAGCACCACTGCAGGCTGGGCCACGCGCATCCCTAACACGGAAAAACCAAAGGGAACTCAGTGAACGCGTGCCCACCACCAGGCCCAGGTAAAAGCCAGAGAAGGTTTACCTTTGATGGGCACCTTCCATCATTACCTTTCAATTATTCTCTTCCCCTTAAACCAGCCCATCACCCTCCCTTATCCCTTCTCTTCTCCACACACCCCAGCATTTCCTCCATCTCTCAGCTATCTTCCAGCTACTCTCCATAAAGGTGTTTCTTATTGGAAAATAGTTTCATGAAAGCAGTTTGTAGTGGCAGAAAGAACACTGGTGTGACAAACAGAAGGCCTGGCTTTACCATAAAATATATGATTGGTCATGCCTGCCCTATGGGCTTCATTTTCCCTCACATGCAGGAAAAGGGGATTAGATCCGATAATATCAGAATGCCTTCCAACTCCAGTATTCCAAGGTTATAATATAATTAGAGGAACTAGAGTTCAGGAACTGTGAGTATTAGAGGAAATTTTGGAACCCGAGGTACAGAATATTGCCTTATATCTCAAAGCATCCCTAAAACACTTTTGCCTAATTTCCCTGGCCTTATACCTCTGCTGCCCGCGAGGAGCTGCACAGTGGCTTCCACCCCCTTCCCTGGCATTATTATCATAGAGTGAGGGATGCTGCTACATGAAGAAAGCCACAGAGCAGAGGACACCGGGTCGTTTCCTCTCCGGGCTGAGGCATCCCTGCTGTGGGCTTTCCCTGCCACTGCCACCACATCTTCCGCCACCTCTCTCCTCACTTGAACACCCTCACAGGGTATTCTTTTTCTCTCTAGTTTCTACTGGATAAGAGAGGCCGGCTCTCCATACTGAAAGGCTCACATCATCTAAAATATTGTGGCTTCATGTCAAATGATCTGCCTTTAACTATCCCCAATCCAGTCAATCATACAAGTGAACCATGTTATTCGTTCTGCTCAAACGTTTTTGGGTTGTTGTGTTTTTTTTAACATGTTTTGTTGATTTTTTGAGAGAAAGAGAAGGAGGGAGAGAGAGAGAAACATCAATGTGAGAGCAAAACATCGCTGTGCTGCCTCCTGAACGCCCCCTCCTGGGGATCAAGGCTGCAACCCAGGCTCGTGCCCTGACCAGGAATTGAACTGGCAACTTTTCAGTGCACCGGACAACACCCAACCAACTGAGCCACACTGGCCAGGGATCTGCTCAAACTTCTTGATGCCTACATAACACACACACTACAACATAAAATAAAGTAAACACCATTCAATAATCTTCATGATCTAATCCCAAACTATCACTCCAGTCTGAGAGTCCAGGACACCTCTTTTTTGTGTAAATTTCTCTATATGGAAGGTGCTAGCCCTTTTCCCTAGGAAGTTGTACTAGACATCATCTCACCCCAGAAAAGACAACACTATGGCAGCAGCCATTGCCATAGTTAATCCAGCTTCTCTGGTTAGATAATAGTCTCCTTCCTCAACCCTCATCTTCATCTATCAGAGAGGCCCTCTGAACATCCTTGGCACTGCTATAACTTGATTGCAGCACTTAAGTTGTGCCCTGCATTAAACTTTTTGTGTATTAATAACTTATGCCTTATGCCAGCTTATGCCTTTGGCTGATAAACTCTTGAGAGCAGCCATTAATATCCCGCACAAATGGACAGTCGATAATCATTATTGTGTTGACTCTAAGCCTAAAGAAGACCAAAGTTCTTGCCCTTGGAAAATCTGAAATTTGAATACTTCTAAAGGTATTTAATCTTTAATGTTCAAAATATGAAATAATAAGGTATATGAATATCTCTTATCCAGTAAAAATTAAATCATTAAACATCTTTGACTTGCCCTGGCCAGTTTTTCTCAGTGGTTAGAGCATTAGAGCATCAGACCACGGGCCAATGAGTTGCAGGTTAAATTTTGGTCAAGGTCACGTACCTCAGTTGTGATTCGTCCCCAGCCCTGGTTGGGGTCTCGTGGGAGGCAGCTACTCGATGTGTCCCTTTCACGTTGATGTTTCTCTCTGTCTCTGTCTCTCTGTCTCTGTCTCTCTGTCTCTCTCTGTCTCTCTCTCTCTCTCTCCCTCTCTCTCTCCCCCACTCTAGATGAACAAAAGATGGGAAAATGTCCTCAGGTGAAGATTTAAAAAAAGTCTTTGACTTTATACAAACTACATGGTTTCTTAGTGAGAAGGTCTAGAGAGAGAAGTTTGAAATTCAGTGGGAATACTCATCATTTTACACCATGTAACAAACCTGGCTGGTACCAGCCTCTAAAGAGCTTTATTTTATCTGAAAACTGGAGAATCTGCTTCTGATGTCCACAGATAAATCAGGCAGCAATTTAGTATTTGGAGCCAAACAGAGTGATGGCTTACTTTCTTCCTTTCTTTTTTGTTTTACCATTTCAAACTGCTTTCATTTTTTAAAATAATTAGCTAAGTTGATTAAGAGGACCTTAAAATCTTGAATTTACTAAAGAAGGCTTACATTTTAAACAAGCTAGCTAATTAGTTTATAAAACTGAATTTGAGGACCTTAAAACCTTGAATTGGGCGGAGAAGAAACTGTTCGTGATTTGCTTCAATTAGTTTTTTAAAAGAGAAATCTCCAGCTTGTCCTGATTCCAAGCTCAGATGTATTCAGGACTGTGGATATATTTCCTCTCTTAAATCAACTTTGCAGTATTTTCTTTCAGTTAAATAGAAGTGTCTGAATTGCTCATGTCTCGCAAATCAACTCAGATGTATTCATTAAGCCTCTACTCGATGCCTGGTCCTCTGCGATGAGCTGTATCTCTGCTTATTTGCTGCTACCAGCTGTGTCCTACCTGCTTCAGAATACAGAGCTATCCAAGCCTGGGGGTTGGAGTTGTACCGTCTCTGGCTTTGCTAGAAATCACTGCCCTTGACTGCTGAAAGAAATGAAACCCAGGTGGGAGAAACACCTCCTCCACCTTCATGTTCCAAAAACCTCACTCACCGTTGGAGAAGACAGGGATGAAGAGAAGAGAACACAGAACGGTGCAGGGCCAGGTCCTACAAAGCGGGTCCCGCGGAGCCCCACGCCTCCGGTATCCAAAGCCAGCCATGGCGTTGTGGGAGCAGGTTCAGGGCTTCAGGAAGCAGAGTGAAACCTTTCAAGATCCTGAAGCTTTGAAATGTATTTGAACCCACACAGAGTCAAGGACTTTATATAGCTGGCTTCTAATTCAGGTATGTACTACACATTCAGTGCATGTAGAAGGCATCTGAATAGAAAGCCTTTTTGTTTTGGTTTTACGAGAAAGGAAGCCGTGGGTTTAGCTGTTACGTCGAAATGATAACCTCAAACACTCAAAGTAAAACTGAGCAAAACAAGCCAATCCATGGATGGAAAATGCACTCAATTTGAAACTGAAGCTTTTTCTTCACCTTGAGGATAACTAAGTGGAGACTTGGAAAATTTCCTGGAGTGCAGGGGTCCCCCTAAATCCCAATTTTATCTGACTGTCTAGGCATCTTTTAGCATCCCATGCATTTCCTTGACACCCCCAAAACTGCTAAGCTGCCAGTTCTCTGAGCCATTGAGCTAATGACAGAAATAGTCTGTACATATCATTAATAAAAGCTCTGCCCTGACCGGTTTGGCTCAGGGATTAGAGCATCCACCTAAAGACTGGAGGGCCACAGGTTCGACTCCCAGTCAAGGGCAGTACTTCAGTTGCGGTTCAATTCCTGGCCCTGGTCTGGGTTGTGCAGGAGGCAACCAATCCATGTGTCTCTTTCACATCAATGTTTCTCTCTCTTTCTCCCTCCCTCCCTCCTACTCTATCTGAAAATCAATGAAAAAATATCCTCCGGTGAGGAACAGTAGTAATAACAATAAAAGCGCTGCATTCTACCAGTGAGACACCATCCCTGACATACTTTACAAGTAAGAGTTTTAATTCCTTCAAGTTCCATTTAGCATTTCTTGAGTGTGAGAAAATAGTAAAATAAAAATAAAATAAAAACTGATCTGCCTCTGGTTTTTACAGTTTAGGAAAGAATCCAGGTGCTTTTGAAAGCCTTAACTCAACAAAGAGAAACTAGAGTGGGAGAAGGTCTGGAAAAAGTCCAAGAGATTCAAACCCACCATAAAAAGATAGACATTGTTTTAATGGGAATTTTTCAAGTATAACATTTAAGAACTAAGGTTAAATATGACTAAAGTTCTCACATTTTTCAGTTTTAGACAGGGCAAATGTTCATCTTATAAGAGAATACTAAGCGCCCTGGCCAGTTTGGCTCAGCGGTTAGAGCGTCGGCCTGCGGTCCGGAGAGACCCGGGTTCGGTTCCCGCTAAGGGCACGTACTTTGGTTGCAGTTTGTCCCCGGCCCTGGTTGGTCACGCGGGTGGCAGCCACTCGATGTGTCCCTTCACGTCGATGTTTCTCTCTCTCTCCCTTCCTCTCTCTCCCTCCCACTCTGTCTGTGCAAAAAATGGAAAGGTGTCCTCAGGTGAGGATTAAAAAAAAAAAAAAAAAAAAGAGAATACTAAGCACCAAGGACCTTTCCTTAAAGCTGGGGAGTTTTCACATATTCAATAGTTATTGAAAATCCATGATATTCCAGAAATTATGTACACTAAGGATTGAATGTTAACAAGACAAAAGCAGAGTTAATGCTGTGAGAGACTTGCAGAAGACTGACATGTAAGCAGACAACTACAACATGGAATATGGTGTCTGCCTACCCCCACCCCTCACTTTTCCGTTCTGCACTCACCTCAGCACAGAGGCTCTGCAGAATTCACAGAATGCCTCTCTCTTCAGCCTGTCTTCCGGCATTCCCTCACATGTCCCCTTCCTCTGCTTGTCATTTCCCTAACATACCCCTCTCAGGTCTCATCACTGCCTTTTCCCTCCCATTATCTTATTTTATCCTCCTTCTCATCCTTTAAGAGTTAACTAAGGTGTCAGCTCCTTCAAGAAACCTCCCCTGACATGACTTTTTTTCTATCCTCCCCTAGCACCTTATATAAGCCTTCAAATCCCAGCTGAAATGCCAGCAGGCAATAACGACCTAATGAGAACTTACTAAGGGCCAAATCCCAGATTGGGCACTGGAGATACCAAAGTGAAAAATGTGTGCTCCTGCCCTTGAGAGGAATTCACAGCATTGACAGGGGCCGACAGCTAATTCATGACCAGGATAGTGGATAAATGCTGGAATTGAAGTATTGCGCAAGCTGTAGAGGAGCCATTGATTTGGCCTGTGGAAGTCAGAAAGGGCTTCTTAGAGAAAATAAAACCTGAGCTTGTTGTTGAGAACAAAGGCAAAGGATGGGTATTCAGACAAAAATAACAGCACTGCCAAGGTTGGAAAGGGCATAAAACATTAATTATGGCAGAGGACAAGGCCAGTATGGGGATTAAAAGTAGTAGTGGAAACTGATGTTTTTAAGAATGAGGACCAATGCACCATAAAGAGTGATAGGCATGACTGAATTCACATTTTGGGGAAATTCCTCCTTACACAGGAAGAGGAATGGAGAGGATGGGTTCAGGGAGAAATAAGATGTAACCAGGAAGGAGACTATTGCAGTACCCCAGACAACAAGGAATTGCCAAACTTTTTCTGTAAAGGACCAGACAGTAAATACATTAGGCTTTTGGGGCCCTATGATCTCTGTTCCCACTACTTAACTCTGCTTTTGTAGGGTGAAGGCAGCCATAGGAAATACATAAATGAATGAGTATGATTGCGTTCCAATAAAATATTATTTATAAGGTCAATTATACCTCAATTAAAAAAAAAAAAAAAAACACGCCCTGGCCAGTTTGGCTCAGCGGTTAGGGCGTCGGCCTGTGGTCCGGAGAGACCCGGGTTCGGTTCCCGCTAAGGGTACGTACTTCGGTTGCAGTTTGTCCCCGGCCCTGGTTGGTCGTGCGGGTGGCAGCCACTCGATGTGTCTCTTCACGTCGATGTTTCTCACTCTCTCTCCCTTCCTCTCTCTCCCTCCCACTCTGTCTGTGCAAAAAATGGAAAAGTGTCCTCAGGTGAGGATTAAAAAAAAAAAAAACATAATTTACTAAAGCAGGTGGCAGCTAGATTTGGCCTGTGGCCATGGTTTGCCAACTCCTGGTCTAAACTAAGGCAGTGTCAGCAGTGGTGACAAGGTCCCTAAAGAGACTAATCCACAAGCAATGAGTCAATGCAGACATTTAGAGTGACACCAGAGTTATGGCTTGGTGGGTACTGTGGTGCTGCCAGGGATTATTCAAATGTTTGTCGAGTTTTATCTCATTCAAGTCTCAAAACACTATAAGGCAGTGATTGTTGTTTTTCTAAAATCATAAGGGAGGAAACCAAGGCACTGAGAATTAAGGAGACTTAGCCAATCCCCCAGTATAGCAAAGACTTTAAAGTCAAAGAGAAGTAAATTTGAATCCTAGTACACATACTTGCTAGCTTTTGACCTGGGGCTGAGAGCCCAATGTCCTCCAGAAAATGGTGCCTACTTCTCAAAGCTATTGCAAGGATTAAATGAGATGACGCATGTAACATGCATAAAAGACCTATTATGATGGTTGGCCACTCAATAAATTGAAGTCCTTTTTATTTTAGAGCCACTGTGAAAACAGAGGTGCAATTTACTGGAATAGAAAACATAGGAATAGATTGAAGATGATGAGTACAACTTGGGCATTTGAGTTTAAAGTATCTATCGACAGTAAGATAGAGAGACATTAAAGCAATTGCCAATATGGGTCTGGAGCACAGGATAAAGATCGAATCTAAAAACACTAGTTGAGGCAAACATGAAGCTACCAATGAAAATTTCACAATGCCAAGGCACTCTATAAACATTTGTCAAATGAAGAGATAAATGGATGAAAACTGTTTAACATAAAAAGAGATGAGGGTTGTAACAGGAACTTTCAAAGACGTCTTACCGGGTCCCCTAATTATACTTTTATGAAATTATATCTGCCATAGCAAGAAAATTCAATGGTTTTGAAAACCACTGGGTAAAAAAAAAAAATGTTGCTAAAAAAAGATATATTCACATATGTTATCCTATAGATTACTTGATCATCACAAAGGAGAAAAGATAATGGACAAATCTAGTAGCTACTGCTTTAACTAAGTGATCAAAGCACAAATCACCCATGATGGGACTCTGACATCATTGCCTCCAAGTACCATGCACCAAGAAGGACACATCTCTACAGTGTGATCACCAACATTGTTTTTACTAAATCTAATCATGATAAACAAATTAGACAAGTCCAAATCATCTCACCCTCAAAACTGGATTTTGATTCCTCAAAGATGTTAATGTTATGAAAGATTAAAAATGAAAAAAATCCTTTAAAAAGCTATTTTGGTTTAAGGGAGGTTAAGAAGTAAGAAGAGCCCTGGCCAGTTTGGCTCAGCGGTTGGAGCGTCGGCCTGCGGTCCGGAGAGACCCGGGTTCGGTTTCCGCTAAGGGCACGTACTTCGGTTGTGGTTTGTCCCCGGCCGTGGTTGGGTCGTGCAGGTGGCGACTACTCAATGTATCCCTTTCACATCGATGTTTCTCTCTCTCTCTTTCTCTTCCTCCCACTCTATCTGAACAAAAAATGAAAAGATTTCCTCGAATGAGGATTAAAAAAAAAAGTACATTATTGAGACACTCGGGGAAATTGAAATTAGACTATATTTGATAATAGCATTGTATTAATGTTAAATTTGCTGAGTATGATCATTATATTGAGGTTATGTAGGGAAACATTCTTGTTTTTTAGGTAATATTTATTTAAGTGTTTAAGAATGAAGTCTCAGGATGCTGGCAAGTAACTCTGAAATGATTCAGCAAAAATATGTGTGTATGTTTGTATTAGTAGAGAGAGGAAAACAGTAACATAATGTTAACAGTTGTTGAATATAGGTGAAGAATATATCTATGTGTTCATGGTACTATTCTTAGAAATTCTTTGTAAGATTGGGGTTTTTCAAAATAGAAAGTGGAAAGTAAAAATTATAAGGCCATTATTAATATGGTAGGCATTGTTAAACAAACTGAAATTTAGAGAGAGGCAGTACCTTGCTCAAGGTTATTCTTCATTCTTCTTCCTCAAATTCATTCTTCACCTGGGAGACAGACCCTTGTGAGTGACTGGGTTCCCTGGCAGGTTGGCTTTTGGGAGGGATCAGCTGATGGGAAGCACTAGCAGAAGATCAAAAGGCATGAGTATGGGGGTCAGGGTATTCTTCCCTGCTCTCTCCTATCAGGG